TTATAGGGAAACCATTTTTCACCATTAAATATAATGTTATCTGTGGGTTTGCCTTTGTTCCAGAAAAGGAGTTTTGCTGAATACAAATCCTACTTGACAGTTATTTCCTCCAGTATACTAAAGATGTCATTCTACTGTTTTTCTGATTTCCTTTTTGCTATTAAAAACTCAGCATTTAGTCTATATACCATTCATATGAAATGATCTGTCTTTTCTCTCTGGCTACTTTTGAGATTGTCTCTTTGTTCTTGATAATTTGAGATTACATCCTGATATATGTAAGTTGATTTTATTTATATTTTCTCACAGGAATTTATGAGGTTTCTTGGATGCAAGGAAATATGTCTTTTAACAGTTCTAGAAAATGCGTAGTTGTTATCTTTCCAAATACTATCCTCCCACTGATATTGTCTGTTATATATCCTGAGAACTCTGAGTAGATATATGTCAAGTCTTCTTAATATATTTTTCAAGTATCAGCTTCATTTTTATTTTACCACCTTTTATTACTGGGCCATACTTATAAATTATTTTTGGTTAAATCTTCCAGTTTCTAATTCTCTCTTTAGTAACATCTAATCTATTTAATTCATGCATTGAGGTTTTTTTTTATTTCAAATATTAAAAATTTTTATTTCTAATAATTTTGGTTATTTTTCAAGTCTCCTATGATACTTCTTATAATGCATAATTTACTTCTTACTCATATTTTCTAGCTTCTCTAACTTTTTAAAATATATTAATATAGTTAGCATATAATGATAGAAACTTATGGAATATAAAACCTTTGAGGTTTTGATTCTGCTTTCCATTTTTTTCTGCTGGCTCTCCATTATGATATGTGTGTCAAAAACTTGAGTGTGAGTCATTAATTTTACTATTATTATCATCTGTGGAAATTCTTTGAAGTCTAAAGTTGAGTTCCTCCAAAGAGGATTATTATATGCTTCTGCAATTGGCCAAGTATGGGACCATTTTCTTTTTTTCTTTCTTTCCTTCCTTCCTTCTTTCCTTCCTTCCTTCTTTATTTCTTCTTTCTTTCTTTCTTTCTTTCTTTCTTTCTTTCTTTCTTTCTTTCTTTCTTTCTTTCTTTCTTTCTTTCTCTCTCTCTCTCTCTCTCTCTCTCCCTCTCTCCTCCCCCCTCTCTCTTTCTTTCTCTCTCTCTCTCTTTCTTTCTTTCTTTTTTCTTTCTTCTTTTCTTTGTAGAGCGATTTTTGCTATAGGGCATGTGCACTCGCCAAGGAGACAGAAAGACAGAAAGCGAGAAATCACCTCCCAGGGGAGATGGTCATGCCACAATCCTTTCCTCTTCATTCCCCTTTTGGGATTTTTGGTATGCATGCATAAATGCCTAGTGTGAGTCTCAAGTCACTGGGTCTGGGACTTGAACTGCAGTTGGCATTATGGGAGTCTAGTGATGTAACCGTTATGACATCTGCTGGTCCCAGGACCTTTTTCTTTTAAATTCTCTACTTGAAATTTTTTTCCCCTAATTTGCACCAAATTCATAGCATGAATGTAGGCCATGAATTCATATAAAAGGATAAATCATGGTTAGAAATTTTCTTACAAGTTTTATTCTCTGTATACAGAGCCGAAATTGACACAGGCAAGTTTCCTTGCTGTCTCCTCCAGAATCAATTTCTTTTCTTTTCTTTCTTTCTTTTTCTTTCTTTCTTTCTTTCTTTCTTTCTTTCTTTCTTTCTTTCTTTCTTTCTTTCTTTTGTTTTTGTTTTTGTTTTTGCTATAAGGTACATGCACTGGCTGGAGAAATAAGAGAAAGAGAGGGTAAGTGAGAAATCACCCCCTTGGAGGAAGGCCATGCCACAGTCCCTTCTCTATTCTCCTCTTGAAATTTTTGGCATTATGCACAAGCACCTAGTGTTATTTTTAAGCTGCTGGGTTCAGGACCTGAACTGTGGAGTCAACTATGTTGGATCCAGCATCTTAACTACTATATCGCCTGCTGGCCTGAGCCAGTTTATTTCTTTTTTTCTTTTTTGGGAGAGGTGATTTTTTTTTTCTTTTCTTTTTTTTTTTTTTTTTTTTATAGCCCCGTGTGCTTCCCAGACAGAACAGAGAGAGACAAAGAGACAGAAAGCGAGAAATCACCCCCTGGGGGGATGGCCACACTGCAATCCCTCCTCCTCTATTCTCCTCTCGGGATCTTGGGCATGCCCTCACACGTGCCCAGCATGAGTTTTAAGCCCCGGGGTCCGGCACTCGAACTGCGGTCAACTACGTGCGAGTCCTGCGACATAGCCATTACGCCAACTGCTGGTCCCAGCCAGTTTATTTCTTTTCTTCCTTCTTTTTCTTTCTTATTATTTAATTTAATTTAATTAATTATTAAATATTAATTTAATTATTTGATTTAATTTACTTCTTCTTCTTTCTTTGACTAGAGAGAGACAGAAAGGGAGATAATCAGAAAAGAGAGAGACAGAGACCGAGAGCGAGAAGAGAAAAAGATTGAGCCTCCCGGTCTGGGACTTGAATCACAGTTGGCCATGTGGGAGTCCAGCACCTTAACCACCACACTACCTACCAGCTTCTATTTCAAATCCATCATAAACTGAGAGTAGATTTTTGCAGGAGGAGCTCAGATTTATAGAAAGATTTCCACTTTGATGAAGCTCTAGGCTTTACCTCTTGTCTTGTATGACCCATTTGGACATCAAGGTAAAAGCTTAGGGTCTCTAAGCTTAGCATAAATTATCAGAATGATACCTGGCATTGGTAATTAAACCAGGATTTCTGCTTTTGTTTTTGTTTTGACCTCTGCAGGTTCTATCCTTTCATGTCAGTAGAATAGTGCATCTTAAAAGAATTGTAAAAAATTCATTAAAATTTTAGATTTTTTTAAATGAGAAGGCTATTTAAAGTAACTAATCTCCATACTGTTTACTGCTGAAAACAAAAATCCTCTCATTTATTTTACCTCTAAGCAAGTTGACATAGAAAATATTCTAAAAACTAGTAGTCTATTTTTCCCCTTAAAATATCCATTGAAAGAAATTCTACAACTTCCTTGTGGTAGATTATCAAAGTGGCCAAATTATTTCCTTCTCTATATCCACACCCTTGAAATCTGATGCTGCAGACACTCCCACAGAAGACAAAGTTGAGCTTCCTATGACCCTGACTCTGGGTTAGCTGTTTGATTTGTTTTGCCCCAATAGCAGGATGTAGTCAAGTGTGACACAAACTGGGGCTTGAAAAGTTCTTATTGAAGCTTACTCTCTTGTTGCACTTGGAACTGAGATCCCACATGAATGAGCCCAAGCTAGCCTGCTGGAGGAAGCCATGTAGGGGCACTCAGGTCAACAGCCTGCCAGTCACATCAGCAGATCCACTGGCTGATGTGATCCTTATCACATCATTATGTGATAAGGGCAGAACTAGCTCAGATGGAAAGCATTGCCCAACCCAGAGAATCAAACTAAATAAAAAAACTGGCTTAAGTTGTTAAGTTTTGGCTTAAGTAAAAGGTAGCTAAAACATTCTCTTAACAATATAATTGTTTGAAATATATTTCAAACCTCCTTACAGCAATGTATTGTCTTTACTCTGTCCAGCTTCAGTTTCTGAGGATGGAAAAATAGTCACTCATCAAGATACTTTTGCAGTTCAACTTGTATTAAAGGCATTTGCTAAGTCTTGATATAAAATTTAAATCACATCAATTAAACATTTGTTTACAGACACATATGTAAACAAATTAGGGAATATGAATATGTAATTTAGTTGCTCAATGCAGATTCTAATTAGATCATGAAGAAAGAAGTCTAGGATTTTTCTCGATGGCAGGGGAAGTCAGTCTCATAGACATGAGGCTGAGGTAGTTACTGATATAAAGACGTGGAAGTTTCAATTGACCTTAAATTCAGTGTAAGTCAATGGTGTGCAGTGGCTCCTTGGGAAGTCAATTCAGTATCAGTCACATTAACAGAAATGCCATCCTTGCTGTATTTGCCAGACCTTGAGAACTGTGATCTGTTCTGAGTAGCATGCTTTAAGAATGATAGTGACAATCTAGATTGGGTCCAAGAAGAAGATTCCAGGATGATGACACAGATGGAATCATTTCTGATGAGGCTCAATTTAAGGATCTGTAATACAGTTTGACATGGGAGAAAACCTAACTACAAGTATCTGAAGGGCAGTCATAGAGAAAAACAAACACAAAGTTTTATTTTAACTTTATGAGGACACATCTAAGATCAACAGGTAAAAGTTACAGGTTCGGGTCAAACATTTCCTAAACCCACAGGGCAATCCAACACTGGAATGGCTGGTCTGCAGACCAGGGAGACCTGAAGGATGAGAGCAAGAAGTGGACGTGGGGCAGGCACTGGTCAGGACACTGTGGGAGGGATAATTGCCCTCTTGGGCCACAGGGCTCTCATGTTCTTTCAGCCAAATTCCTTTTCCTTCCTGCTACTCATTATTTGTCTTTAGGAATGCTTACCTTGGTTCAGTCTAAAATCCTATAAATTAGCCATGAGTAAGCTGTAATGGAGGTAACCCATCATCTATCTGTTTCCAAGTAATAAACCTTACAACATCAAGATGTATCTTCTCCTTTGTTAAACTTAACAGTTGAGAATTGTCATGCTGTCACTGAATACATGCTCATCTTAGAGCCACACTGAATTTTAGTCAAGGTAGCTTGAGCTTTCACTTGCTCTCAAATTGATTTACAGGCACAAGCTAGGAATCTTTCGAGAGATATAAGTTAAGTTTTCAGGATTGCCCTTTTCCTTCTGGGTCATATCCCTCTGAGGTCGCCAGACCTCATCCCAATATACTACAACCTAACACTACCCTCACTCCAACTCCCTTTTCACTTCATACTGCTTGGGAGAAGACTAATGAGAGGCTCAAGGAAAGTCTCCACACCTTTGTAGATAACTGCCTATGTTTGTTTTCCCAGCATGTCCTAGCATGACAGCATGGCCAGGAAACAAAGGAGGGAGTGGGGAAATTGAATTTCCTACCTTGACAGGTGAAGCATCTGATGTGGAAGTGGTTGTTGTGGACTCGAACCACTTCCCCTTTGCAGGTGTCTCCACATCTGTAGCACTGGATGACATTGGAGCTGCCCCGGGGATTGTAAGGATTCTGCTGATAAGGAACTGTAGAAAGAAACAAAGAGATCACTATTCAGAGGCCCTGATTCTTTAATAAGTCTGGTATGAGACATTATCATAATCTTAACTGGAAGAATAAACAAGAAGTGTAGAGATTATTAACAAAGTACCTTCAACTCATCATCAGGCTGAATGTGCCAAGCTAAGGCAGCATTAAGTGAATGGCATTAAGATGTGAGTCTACAAAATTCCTTAAGCAGACAGAGACTTATGAGTGAACGTATCTTTCCTTGTAATAAAAGAGGTCAAATATCCAAATGAAAAGAAAAAAAGACAAAATAGATATTTTAATGTAAATGATTCAGAAATACCATTTTTGGGGGGAAATTGCTGGATCAAAATTAGTCCCTCAACTTGACAAAGGGAGTTTGGGTCTTACAATTGTCTCACAAATCTTGAAGAAATGGGTGATTGACTCTGCCTCCAACTGGCCTTTGAGTTAAAAAAGTTATGGTCCTTCTCTGGGTTTAAGTTTTCATATGTATAAAATGAGAGTGGTCAATGGTAGTGTGGACTTTCTATAAAGGAGGCAGGGAGGCACTGTGACTGGAAGAAGGCTGATGAGGGAACTCATCCCAAAGCTGCCTCTGAAAGAACTCTGTAAGACTGAGAAAAATGTCAAATGTATATTTCAAAAGAAGGCTGGAGAAAATGATGAAGGGGCTGAAATCTCTGGAGTTGAGTGCAGTTGTCAGCATTTGATGATACTCCAGAGCTCTACTAGCCTACTGAGTCTGTTATTCTCTTGCTCAGATCTTCTCATGGCTACTTTTCTGCATCTCGCTTCTCTGGAATTCTCTTGGTTTGATCATTCTAACAACTGGTCATCTTGAATTTAATAATGCCTACCTAGAATAGAAACTCTCAAAGATGAAAGAGATATTAGCTGCTTGCTGGTCCAACCTCATTACATATAAACTGTCGGGATAACTTTGCTGGTGAGGAACCAGATCTTCTTTCTTGTAGACAGTAACTAGTCATTGAAGAATTACTCATTTCCTCAATGTTCACTCAAAGTTGAAGTAATAGTCCAAAAACTTCTGCTCATGCCCTATTAGAAGAAGGCTTACTCTTGTCTTGATTATAAAGATAACAACCTGATTAAAGAGTGATTGCTAGGCTTCATTTGTACATGTAGACTTCTTCTGAATAAGTATATTATAAATGAATACTAATTCACAGCAACCTTGAATTACAAAGGAATATAAAGATCACCTGCATCAGGAGTTCTTGACCTAGTATGGTGGTTCTGTCCTTTCACTGAAAATTACATATTTTCTTCCAGGCACATGAAGGATTGTGCAAGCTGACTTGCTTGGCAATGAAATGTGAATAGAAAGTGTATGCATCCCCTTCCAATTGGAAGGAAACCTTAGGAATCAGCATGTGCTCTGCCATATTGCCTTTCCCCTAACCCAACAACAGGTAAAACCCCAGATAGTGTGTGGGATACATTAGCCTGAATCCCTGACTGAGGAGTCACGGAGTAGATCTCCAAGCTAACCCATGACAAACACTCATCGTGAGCATCTGTCATCATAGCCTCCAAGACTTTTCCTTACTATGGCATAACGTCGACTACCCTGCCTGACCACCTGGAATCTGATACTTCTCTGTAATTGGTATTACGTACATTATTCTATAGCTTTCTTCATATTGTCAGAAAGACCAATGGTCTCCCATTACTGACCTCATCTAGCCTCCTCCTTTTTTAAAAACAATGAACAAGAAATCAGGGCTTCTGATGATCTCCCACTTACAAATATCCTGAATCAAAAGTACGCAACAAGTGAAGGAGTTGGTGCTTGGTCCTGAAATTTGCTTCTGGCAACTTTGCTGGCTGGCATGGGAGAATAACATGCTACTCACAGTCCTTCTCTCATGGAGTTTATGTACGTTATTATTATTATTATTTTTGAGAGGTTTTTGTTATAGGGCATGTGCACTCGCCAGAAAGACAGACAGAGAGATAGAAAGCAAGAAATTACCCCCCAGGGGAGATGGCCATGCTGCAATCCCTTCCCCTCCATTCTCCTCTTGGGATCTTGGGCACACACTCATATGTGTCTGGTGTGAATTTAAGCCACTGGGTCCAGACTCAAACCACAGTCGACTACATGGAGTCCAGCAACCTAGACATTATGCCAGCTGGCCCTAAGTTTATGTACATTATTAAACTCTTTATTTATTTTTTGCCTGCCTCAAATTTCAGGCAAAATATTAGTGAGTTAACTAATGAACTAAATTATTAATTCACTCATTAGATGGTTTAATACATGTAGAGCATTTTGAAATGCACTAAATCCTCCACAAATGTTTCCTGATATGATGCCCATCGTGTCCCCCTCACAAAGCAGAAGAAGTCTTTCCCACTCCATAGAATGTCCATTAATGTTTTCTTTGGCCCTGTCCCCTTTTCTTCTTTGGCCCTGTCCCCTTTTCTTCTTTTTCTGATTCTTGCTCAGTGTTCTTATAAAGTATTTCACTTGGCTCTGCTCTCAATTTCTAAAAAAAGATATAGACCTTGTCTATACGAGCAGTGTAGTGAGCTACCATTGCCAAGGAAGCAAAAGCTATGAGTTTGAAAATAAAATAAGAACAAATAATACACTCATTACCATCAATGATGAATATCCAAGAATCCCTCAGAACCACTATCCAAACTTTCACATAACTTGTCTAATCCAACCTGCCCACTGTTCAAGAACCTTCTTCCAAGATCAATTTGATTTGTCCTAATTTGATTTGATTCCTGGGATAATGGATTTGTGAATATGACCCTCAGTTCAAAAGATCAGAATTCAGTCTTCAGACTACCCCTGTAAAAAAGCATAAGATCAGAGTGAAGGGATGATTAGGAAAGTGGGCTTTCTGGGAGAAGTACTGATACGGCCACAGCCTACCACTGCTACTTCCCTTCAGGATGAGGGTGCTGCTGATGTGGTCAGAGCTCCAGAAATGTCTTGTGTTTGTGAATAGTCCCATAGGCAGAAACTTATGCATTGTTGGTGTGAGATCTCCTGGATGGTTGATGTGAGCTCTGTTTATAAAAGGGGAGTGGTGTAGTAAGATTTGAGCTTACCGGTATGGCAAGACCTTTCCTTATCTAGACAGTGCAACAGGAACTGTGGGGGTCAAGAAATGTTACTCTGTCATAGGCCATATTTGCTTCTGCTCTGGAATCTGCTCTGGAAGTCACTTCATTTCCAGAAAGATTTGTATCCTTGCCTAATTAATTCAGGAACTTAATCTAACCTTATTCTATGTGGATACAGGTGTGGATGGTGGTGTGTTATTTCTTCCCACCAACCTGTAATTCCTCTAAAACACTACAATTTGATTGTTGATTTTCTGTTGGTTATTAGTTTTACTAATTTTTTTTTTCCTCAGGAAATACTAAGTTTCAGTTAGGTGACTTACAACATTTGCCTTACGGGTAGGCATCTTTGAACTCCAAATTGACTTTCTGAACTATCTGAACATGAGATTTTTAAAATTTTTATTAGAGAGACAGAGAGAGCATCCCCTCCCCCAGTGGGGTGTGGTCATGCTGCATCCTTTCTCTTCCATTTTTCCACCTTGTCAGGATTTGGGGCATATATGTACATGCACCCTTTTCGACTTGCTGGGACCAGGTTAGGAACCACGGTCAGTCATGTGGGATCTGGCTCTCCTAACCACTGTGCCACAGGGCTGGCCCTGACCATGACTTTTTGATCTCCCTCATCTGTTAGGAACCACCTACCCTTGAAAGCAACATTTGAGAGAGGCCATACACTTCAGTGAACATTCCCTGTTCTTTTGTGAGCTAATCCATAATGTTGCCAAGCTTAGACATGTGAGTCATGACATGTATTTCCCAAATGTATGCAGTAAACCTCTGGCTTCTTTTGTTATGTTATTGGCCAGTAAAGGGCAACCAGGAGAGACATTCCCAGTCACTTGCCCTTAAGCAGTGCTATTCACTGGAACTTTCTGAGATGATGGAAATGTTCTAAGCTGTCCAACATAATAGTCACTAGCCAAATGGGACTTCTGGGCATTTGAAATGTGGCTAGCGTGGCGGAGAAAATGACTTTTTAACTTAATTGAATTTTAATGAATACACATTTACATTTAAATAGTCACAAATGGTTACCTTACTGGATCATGTAGCCTGATCATGTCAAAAATGGAGCACCAGACAGGGGAAAAAGAAATTAAACCTCACTGCATCCTAGTCATACAAAACTAACACGCACAAATTAATTTAGGAATGCCACTTCATACATAAATTATTTATTTCTACCCATGAAGGGTTTTAAAGTTGTATTTACAGACAATTTGCTGCACCGGTTGGTTTGCGATACTGGACCTACATGGGAAGGTCTCGGGTTCATGTCCTGAGGGCTCCCTCTAAATGCCACAGGCATGTGGGCATGCCTGTGATCTGGGGCTGCCTGAGGCTGGGGTAGATTGTGGTGTGAAGACCCTGTCAGAAGTGACTGTCCCTTTCTAACTCTGTGTCATAGAAAAGAAAATATTTTTTAAAAAATTGCAGTAGAAGCTAACTACATACACATTCACTTATCCTGAATTTGATCTAGAAAAAAAGAGATTCAGAGCAGTTAAATAAATAACAATTTTTTAAAAAACAGTTTTTCAGACACTACAAGACTGAACAAACCTAGTTTTTCCAAGAATAAAGGCAAGGCAAGAAAATCAGTTGGAAATGGCTGTCAGTATAATTTTTTAAGACAGAAAATCAGCTGGCCAGTGCCTTTGAGATTAAGAACGAAGCATCTAAAACATTAAGCTCTCTTTTATACTCACACCAAATCTTTACAGTTCTACAAGAAAATACATCTTAATTCCACCACTAACATTATAAGTAAAGCTCTTCTCAATTGCTACAGGGATAATTTCGGGTTGTTGGAGGTAAACAATATATTGGAAAGGGAGGTGTGACCAAACTCCTGGCAGATTAGAAGGAGCACAGAACCCAG